AGGTCAACACAATTGTTTAGCTGATTATTTATCTCGTCATCCAATACAAAATGATGAAGAAATATTTGATGAAGATTATGGCATAAACATGTTATTTCAAGGGGAACCACCAGAAATGGTGCATGTTCCTGAAAACAATTTTCAAATTGTTGGTGCTGTTGTTACACGTTCCAAGATGAAACAGATAGCACAACGACAAGATCAAATTCATACAACTATACCATCAGTTATAAATGATAAATCATCTTCATCAAGTCAAGAAAAAATTGAACATTCAGATGAAGTTACGTCAGATTTAATTACATCTAATAATTTTGATATAACTCAAATCAAAATGGAACAAGCAAAGGATCCAATTATTCACAATAAAATTAAAGAAATTATGGAAGATCCAACACAACATTCTTATGTATTTAAAGATGGCATATTATACAAATTAGCATTGATGCGCAGTAATTCCAATACAAAAACAAAATTAATTTATTTACCATCATCCATGATTAATTCTCTCCTTCAATCGTACCATAATGATCCGCTTAGTGGTCATTTTGGCGTTCGACGTACATATTTAAAGATCAAAAATAAATTTTGGTGGCCAAAAATGAAACAATCAATCATTCAATATATTCAATCTTGTTTACCTTGTCAACAATATAATATTAGTCGTACCAAGAAACCAGGTCGACTTAATCCAATTTCAACTCCAGAAGGACCATTTCAATTAATAGGTATTGATTATTGTGGTCCGTTCAAACCAACACCTCGTGGCAATCAATATGTACTATGTATTACTGACTATTTTACAAGATGGGTAACGGCAGTAGCTTTACCTGATTGTTCAGCACAAACAACGGCTCAAACATTATTTAATAATTATATTTGTCAATATGGTGTACCATCAGCTATATTATCTGATCAAGGTACTCATTTTAAAAATCAGCTTATGGAATCTATGGCAAAATTAATTGGTTACAATCATATTTTTTCATGTGTTTACCATCCACAGACTAATGGAATGGTTGAACGTTTCAATGCAACATTTGTTCCTCAAATTGCAAAACTTCAAGATCGTGAAAACAATAATTGGGATGAATTTTTATCCCCAGTAGTATTCGCCTACAACACTGGAATTCATGCAACCACTGGCTATTCACCATTTAAATTGCAATATGGTCGCGATCCACGTTTACCTACAGATGAACCTTCAACATCGTTCATATTTAATAAACCACAAGATTATTACGAACAATTAAAGAAGAATCTGTTGATAATGCAACAACAAACACGTGATAATGTTAATAGTCGACAACAACGATACAAAACTCGTTATGACAAACAACGTGCAGATCCACATTATGAAATTAATGATTTAGTATTGGTTAAAATTCATGGAGCAAAAGCAAAATTAGATCCAAAATATTCGATTACACCTAAAGTTGTTATTAAAAAACAACATCCAATTTATTGGGTTAGAGATGAAGAAACACAGGTCGAATCGAGAGTGCATGTCAATGATATTCGACCTATATTTATTTCCAAAACAAAATAAAATATTAATGTTTATTTTTTGTTAATGATCAATTAATGTTAATGTATACGTGTTGTTATGTTATCATGGTTAATGTTAGACTATGTTTGGCGTATGCGCAACGACTTTCATGGGACAACATTAATTCATTAATGTGTGTGGAAAAATTGATATTTTAATATGTGCGCATTAATTTATCAATATTTACCATCATCTCCACATGAATTGCATTATTAAAAATTGATTATTACAAAAATTAACATTATATCCCATGTCAGGAAACTCCTTTTTAGGGATGTTTCTGTTCCGAGTATACCTTATGAATTTTTCTTAACTATATATTTTTTATCAAAAATGCTTTCATTAATGAGTGATATCTATACATTGATTTATCGATAGGATTATTTATATGAACCAATAAGATGTCACATGTTATTTTAATTTTATTTATGTTCATTTTGTTTACTTTATTTCTTTTCTAGTCATTACTATGTCAGATAAATTTATTTCACATAATTTACGTGATATTGATGATACATTAAATGATCGTGAACCATATCAACAACAAACATGGACACGAACAGCAATTAAAGCAAAAGAAAATGTTGAATTACGTCAAAAATTTCCACCATTTGTCGTACCAACAGCTTTTTATCAAATTGTCCATGTGAACAAATATACTTCTATGGAAGAAATGCACTTATTGATCAATCATGTACAAGAATGTACTCAAATTTACCATCGATACAGAATCAGAAAGATCAAATCATCAATTGGCATTAATACAAATACAAACTATACCATCTCGATTACCATTATTAGTGATATTAATTGAATTACAACATCTTCCAACTAATAATTTACCTACGTATGTTAAAATTAAAGAATTTTTTTCATTAGTATTTAGATCTGGAAATAAATTGTACTCGTGGGATGATATGAACAAAGAATTAGAGCCAATACAAGATTATCATTTATTTAATTGGCCAACAACAGCATTATTAATTGACATACAATTGTATTTCCCAGATTGGTATGAGTGGGCACTGGCTCATTGTGAGTCATGTCGCCTGAATCATAATCGTCATTATGATGGTATTAATTATGATGATGTTCCTACACAAAATTATTCATCATCAAAAAATGTTTGTCATGAACAAAGTCCATATCGTCCAGTTGAAAAATGGTCTCTTCAGAAGGCCTTGATTTATGCAGCACATATGTTCATCGACAAATCAAGTACAGTTAATAATTGGGCTGCAGGTTTAACACCAAATAATTCAACATTATCATATGGTCGAAGAAAAAAAATGATTAATTATGCTATATACGATTGTTTTTCAACAACATATCTTATTCGACCAGTTTTAGAAAAATGGACATTCAAACAATTACAAGACACAAATATTGTTGAAGTATTTACATCATTTAAATCATTACCATTACCAACAATTAATCCAACAAATAAAAAAAATAATAAAAAAAAATATTAATTTACAAAAACTATTTAATTTCAATGATGATGATTTACAACCGGTATCAGATGATGATGAAATTTATCTTAATCAACTCATTGAACCAGTTACGAATGAACAACCTGGAAATGAAACAATCTCAAATGATGAACAAGAATTTACTGGTCAAAATGTGGTCAATGATGTTGAATTAATTAGTGACGAAGATGATGAAATTATAATTGATAATAATCAAGAAGGTCAACCAGCTGAAGAAAATGATAATGATGAAATTCCACCAGCTGCAGTTGTTGAAGAAAAATTACCAACAACAAAACGTAACAGACCTCACCGACAACGATCAATGGCATCACGACAACGAAGAAATAGAAAACGAAATAACACCCATCGAAAACGTCGTTACCAGCATTACATTACTCGTTCGATGTATTATAAATTTACTAAGTCATCAATCAGAAAAATTCTAAAACAACATCATTTCAACTATGTACACGTCAAGGTGGTTGATGGCATAGTAATTATTGGTGTAAAGAACGCCTTGATCCAACAACAGTACCAAGATCAAATACCAGAAGACATATTTGATCGAAAACATTATCAAAATTACCAACATCATCATCAACATCGTTATCAACATCATCATCAACACAATCATCAACATCGTCATTACCATCATCATGAATAATCACAGCAACAACTCAAATAGTAAAACAAAAAATTTTTTTTGTTCATTTGTTGTTATATTTTTTACATTTGTTACTATTATATATTTTTTTTTCTTTTTTCTCCTTCCTTTTTTTTTCTTTTCTTTCGTTTTATTTCATCACCATTTTAATGAACGGTTAATTGGTCCTTTGAAATTATGAAGATGTTAATTGGTTCAGATTTATCTATTTTTGGATGATGAACAATATTTAGCTATTAGTCTTCGTTTAAGACATATGAATAAATCAACACATGCTTTAACTGGTATTAATCGTTGGCTTAATAATTTAATGTGTAATGTACCTGAATTAGTAATGTGTTATTATGTTGATGTTATTGTTCAATCATATGAAATAATTAAAACAGAAGATATACTTATCCAAATGCAACTACAGAAGGACATATATATTGGTTATTTAAAAATCCAGATGATGATATTGTTACATTATATGATTTAACAAATTTATGTGAAACAGATCATGATGACAATTTATATACATTACCAGTTGCTATACTACTTTATAAAATGAAACATAAAATTGTATCAAACTTTGATTATGAAACATGTTTAAAAGAATCTGGTACAATATGCACATTACTTAAACATTATTTAGATATTATCATATATAATGAGTATAGCTAGTGATTGTCCTTTAATGTTATCACATGTAACATCAACAGAAGAAATTGAAAACTATAGTGGACAATATCAAATTATGAATGATGTTGATTGTGAAATTCAAAATGTTATTGATGAAATTGGAATAGATGAAAATTCTTCTGCATATTCTTGGGTATTTGAATTGACACCAATTATTGAACTGATCATGATAAACAACGTCTTCATTTACAAAAAAAAAAAAAGAAAGATGGACAAAAAATTCAACAACAACATCAACACTTGAAGCATTAGAAAATAATTTAACAGCAACAAATCTTTTATTACTTAAACGAACAACTATTGAAGAAGAATTATTAAAATGTCAACAACAGGTTGATGAATTACGTATACAAGTTGAAAGATTAAAACAATTAGAACTAGAAAATCTGATGGAATTGAGACAAAATGTTTACAAGTGAAAAAAATTTTTTTAAAAACTTCTATTACCATTAGAACAAAAATTATGTTTGGAACAACCAAAACATTCATATCAATATTTACGTGGGGTTGAAGATGAACAAATAGGGTCAAGTGGAAAACGTCATTCATTACAAACATATTCTGATTTAATATTTAATAATAAATAACAAACATTAATGAATATTAAATTATTAAAAGAACATTTACATAATGAATGTATACGTATAAGTCAAGATTATCCATCACGTGCAAATGAATTTCAACAACGTTTAGAACAATTAAATTTAATTATAATGATTTAACACAAATAATAAAACAACGTCGACAACACATTGGATTATTAGAACATCTTTATCTATATTGGCACATTGGTTATTATGATTCGAGTGATGCTGAAACATGATCGGGTGAATATGAATTATATATGATGAGCGAAGAACGTGGTAAAGATGAATTAACAAAACAAACATTTATACGTATTGTGGTGATATTTTTTTTCATGTTGTTATATATATTTTTTTTCTTTCTCTTTCTTTTCCTATGTGATATTTTTGAACTTGTTCTTTCATTAACTGATATGGTTATATTAGATTTTTTTCTTCTTTTCCTTCTCTTTCTTTTTTTTGAAGTTTCCTTTTTCTCTCGTTCATATCTCTATATACGTAAAAAAGCTAAAAGTATTTTTGTGAACAAAAAACTTTTCTTGTAAGGGGAAGGGTGTTAGGAGCGACATCTTTCTCTATGTTTTTTCCTATGTTCGTGGTCTTTCTTCTCTTCTTCTTTCTTTTTGATATTATATATGGGCGTGAACAACTATTGTACGGGGACATTTTTATTTCTTAATAAAACATAGAAAGGTCAACATATTGTTGATTCGAACTCCAAGGGCAAAACGAAACCTAACAACATGCTTAGAAAGATCCTTTGTTAAATATATTGTTTTCTATCCTATCCGTGAAAAAGTAAATTTGTTTTGTTGAGATCATTAGTGGTATTTTATAAAGGCTCTATTTAAGCTTGTTCGTATAGATTTAAAGTGTGAACATACCTCTATTATTGGTAAAAATATCAAGCCGTTTGCTTGATCCG